AGTACTACCCCCCCCCCCTTCTCCCCTTTAACCCCGGCCACCCTTCCCCGATGACATGGACCGTCACAGAGAGAAGCGGGGAGTTTGGTGGACCAACCGCGGAGGGAACGGGGTGGTCGTTGTCGTTCTGCGCTTCGAACGCGGCCTCTCTCTCTCTCTCTCTCTCTCTCTCTCTCTCTCTCTCTCTCTCTCACCACTTTCACAGCATTGAGTGCGGAGTGGGCCGTTCTCTCAGCTCCGTTTGAAATTATGTGTCGATTCTGAACACGGATCACGGACAATGCGGACGCACACGCAACTTAGAATTGTTCTCAATCAAAAAATATCCCTGCTGTTCAATTGTTTTTATTAACGTAACCTGTAAGCCAAGGACGTGGGATGTGGCTATAGCGGCTGTCTGATTTTATTCTTAAGATGAATCGTACACAATGTATTGACTTTTGTGAAAACGGTTACGTGTTACATTTTCACCCTAAATCGAATCCGAGCTTTACGGGCTAAATAAAAGGTCCATTTTAAGTTTCTTGTTAAATTACGGCTGTGGGAAATTGACCGATTCTTTATTGGCCGCACAGTGCCGCCCTTTGTCGGTGCTGGTCGGTGCAGCACGCATCACCTGCGCGATTAGCGGACGTGAAAATGAAATAATTACTACCATACGAAGTTCCCTAATCACGCACGGCACATCCGCATGCTGATTAGCGTCCTTTGAATGGGAGATTTGTTCGCCTGAATCATGCATGGCGGTCATCGACGCGTAAAATAGTGCTTTTGGGGCGGCCATGGTAGCCGAGAGGCTCGGCATCAGCAGCTTGTTGTGGGGGTCTGTCAAGCTTGTGGGATGTATCGACTAATGTTTGGTTTATTTTCCATGCAGCCGATGAATTCGTGGACCCCGAGGAAAAGGCATTCGAGTACCTCAACGACCGGCGGCTTTACTCCACGCTTAACCCGCGCCTCGGCCTCTACTCACCATCTTCGATCGACCACATCGGACCGAACATGCCCAACGGACCAAAAATGGTATTCTATTCGATATTTAAAGAAACAAACTTAGCGGCAAAACCTACTTAGGTTCCACGAGGGGGCACCACTTCCGTTTTAGGATGTGAATACGCAGCAGCAGTGTTGCGGGTTTGCCTACTCTTTCCACCCCAAAGGGGCCATGACCCTGTGGCCATATTGAGTATGCAATCAGGCAACACTGCTGCGTATTTACAATTACACCCAGTACACAACACATGGATGCATGTATTACACGTAAATTTTGATGGATTACACGTGGATTTTGTTGAATTTCTGTGGCTAAAACCAGTAAATTTGGATATAAACACTGGTAAAACAAGTGTTTAATGTTGCACGTCAATTAGTGCATGTTAAATTGTGCATTTTCTCAACACACTCTGGTGTCTAGTTTAGGTTAAACGTCAATTGGAGTTTAAACTTTCGACACTTCCGAAAAGTATAGCAGCACACCATATTATTTCTACAGATTTGTGTGCGTTTGTGTGTGTCCAAATGTGCAGAATTTAAACGTTTAAAATGTGCACATCACGAAAGTGGACAGCTTGAGTTAAACACCATGTAATGTTTAAAATCTTAACTTGTACACGTTGGTGTTTAAATTATCCACACTTGTTTCACCAGTGAAGGTAAACTGTAGTGATAAATTTGGCTTAGTATTATACGGATTTCATGGGAATTACACAGGGATTACACTTCCATCCACACACAGGATTACGGAGGTGGTGGCCCCCTCGAGGTTTTAAAACCTTCAAGTGCAAAACAGCGTTGAAGACTTATGTCATGTGCTTACCAGTAGAGCACATTCGGAAAGTACGCCCGTTTGTTCACCGTTACGCACCTGCCGGCCGAGGTTAATCTCAAGCAAGCTCTCATAGCGCCTGGTCGGTAGGCAACACATTGTTTTCAGTGCATGCGCGTACTGCGGTGCGGCCTACCCTGAGTTTCGCAGGCGTCGTGCCCCCGCGTGTCGTGTAATTTGCCTGTTGAATCCGAGAAAAAAACTGACCTACATATTTAATGTAAGGCTGTCAGTGAGAGGGAGCCAACAGCTTTGACAATAAATCAAATTACGCCCCTTTTTTTCAGGACGGAGAGGTGACGTATGCGGAGCTGTCGCTGCAGCGGCCCATGGGGGACCCGTGCATCCAGCGGGCCATGGCGCCCTCGCCGCAGCCGCTGTCGCTGGGGCCCATGGGCGGGCTGGGCGGCCCCCTGAGCGGGCCCCTCAGCCCCATGTACGGCCCCGGCGCTGGGTGCGCGGGCGGCCCCGGGCGGGGCCCGCTGCACGGCGCGTACGGCGGCCCGGGCTCGGCCATGACGCTGCCGCACCCCGGGCAGCGCGGCGGGCTCGTGTCGTGCCTGCGCAGGCCGCCGCCGTCGCTCGGCCACGAGCCCACCATGTACGCGCAGATCGCCGTCTGTCGCGGGGCGCACGGCCACGGCCCCGGCCACGGGCTCGGGCTCGGGCCCGGCCGGGGCCGTGGCGACAGCCTCGTCGAGGACGTGGCGGGCGAGGCCGTGGAGGCGCCGGAGCACCGGGACACCTCTGTGAGTCACAGCCCGCGCCGCGCGCCGCGCCGCGCACACTACCTCTACCACTACACGGTCGGCAGGGCCTCCTCGGGCCAGGTGAATGTGCGGTCACGCGAGGGGAGACACATGTAACTGCGCTGCTCTCTTTGCCACAAGTCCATGCATCATTGGCGTCTCTGAATTGATTTACAGCGGGCGCGATTCGCGGTTTAGCTGGCAAGCGTCAGCTTTTCGCCATGTAAGACTCTACTTTCAATAGCTCGCTTAATCTGAAAGAGATACACGCACTGTACATTGCACTTCTAGCACTTAAATTGTGCTATGTATTCACCTTCACTTTCACTGCAGCGTGTTTCAAAACTGCACTCTCTCCACTCTGTTGCCCCTTGTGTTGCATTTTTCGCCCGCAACATATCCACTCATTTTTGAAGTATTGGGGAGCGGGGGGCTGCTGACCAGTAGGAAGAAAAGACACTATGACTCTTTACACACTCAGAGCAATACGGTAGTACACACCAGGTCAACTAACTTCTTCGTACCACACAATCTTTATTCATTTTTAGCAGTTATAGGTTTATAAACTATTGGAATTTTGAGAACGACACAAGTAACTGCCCACGCAAAATACATGGTTTGTTGCCAGTTAAGGCGTTGACTGAAATTGGTAAGCTGATAAATCAGATGTTTAGTCGTCGAACACTTGTAAGTGTTGGACACCTGCAATTCGGTTACTTCACTTGCGAGAGTTCAACTCAGTAGTAGTTCTCTTGAAGATGTTTATCTCCTCTCTTGAACACTCTTTTCCGAAGCACTCGGTGGGATGCGAAGTGTTTAACACTTCTTGCAACTGGCACAATTACCGAGTTGAACCCTTGGTTATCAGTGTAGTTTCTGGCTGATTATGAAAGGGATCCCGAATGGATAGTCATTATTATTAGCTCAGAACTAAAAGGAATTCCGCTGCGATAATTGTACGATGAAATATAATTATTGCTAAATGAACTCTCGGAGCAAGGCAGGGACAAGAAAGGTCTCCCCCGGGGTACCAACACGGCTATTCTCCACCACATGCCTCGCCTCCCTATGTCTTACACCCCCTTCCCTCCATCCACCTCTGTTTGTCCTAGTTAATTCATCTGGGGCTTGCATAACACAGGTCTAACCCAGCCACCTCCCCCCCCCCCCCCCCCCCCACACACACACTACGCGCAAGGCCCAGTATTGGTTTGCAGACACGGCCCTTTGAGGGACACGCAAGATACACGCTGAATACACGTGTGGGTTGCATTGCAGCAGAGCAGTGATTGGGTGCCTCGTGACATGACCGCACATCGCACGGCTGAGTGCCCAATCCGTACTCGCACTCTGCACTTCATAAATGTAGCGTATGCTACAGCCAAAGCTAGTTCTTTATTAATTTACAATTTTTACTCGTTCTTTACCTCCCGACACTTCTTCTCGGAGGTAGAGAACGAGTATTGTGCTCGGGCTCGGTGTAATTTAGACCCCACTTTCAGCGAAGAAATGGTAACACATACAGCTATACGGGTACAACCAAAATGTTGCATTTTGCGTCTTAATGAACCAATAATAGAGGTTTTTTTTGAGTTTCTAAGCAAAATTTTGAGAAATAACGATTCTAAAATACGAGGAGAGACGTTCGGCCGTTCGCCGCGGGGGCACTTTTCAGCCCCTTTCGGCCGGCCAAGAATCGACATAATACCTATAATATACCATCAAATCACGTAATACTTTGCAGGTGGCTATTTTGACATGTGATAAACAGTTTCTGGGTATTTTCTATGAATAACTACTCAGTGAAATTTAGACTAATGCTACATTAACAAACATTCACGAACACAAGTCCATAAAATGGGTTATGCGCATGCGCGAGCAGCGCCATCTATTGACGGAACTGTGAACACCTTGACCCGCGGTCGTTTGATTCGTTACCATTTCATATTTTTCAATCGGTGGGTACTCAAAGCTCTAAATTACACCATGCATGAGAGAACAGGTGGTAAAGAACGAGTATCCTTCTTTTGCATCAAATAAATTTGATGGTTTTTCATTCTACTTGTTATTTGTAATCTTACGATATCAGGTCGTACGTTTCCGAATTATTTTATCTCAAAAACTTTCCGCACACTTAGCTCTGTGGGGATAGAAGCGGACGCCATGACGCATGTGCACGCCTTGTAACTGTGCCTTTGTGCCCGTCTACAGATCTCCTCGCTGCAGCCGCTGCTCGACACCCGCTGCAACACAATTGGTGGCCACGGCAAGGGTGCTGGTCTTCTGAGCAAGCCGCCAGCCGCTGTGACGGCCACACGCTTCTGACCCCACCCCGATCACGGCCCTGGGCCCGGTCGTAGTCACGGCCACCTGCTCCCGCCGCCGCCAGAGTACCACGACTACGGTGTGCCCCTCAGCCAGGCGAGCGGCCAGCTCAGGGGACTCCAGCAGCCGCTCGTCATTCAAGTCGGCGACGAGGCCTTGTAAAAGGGGAACAAGCGAGTGCCGCGAGTGCGACGACCACGAGTGTCAAAACTGCGAGTGCCGCGAGAGCGACGAAAGACAGTAAAAAATGCCTGTGGACCTCGCGGTGCCCTGTCGAGACTGAGTGCACAGACGGGCATGGCGCGTGGCGCCTGATTTCTGCCCACACCACTTGTCCGGGAGCTGTCGAGACATGCAGAGGCGTTGGTTGTGGAAGAGGAGACAAACAATGGGATAGTTTTGTTGCCGGTCTCCCCTTTGGGATGAACGTATGCTCGGTCTGGAGGCTATGCTTTGGCGGTAAACCAACTAGGATCGAGTGCAATGAACTAATAAAATCCTCTTGTTCGTTTCCGCCAAATGTGGCTCTTGGCCGTTTTTTTTTTGTTTTGTTTTTAAAGGGGGAGGTGGGGCGAGGTAACGGTCAGACTGATGTAGTTAATTTTCTTATCTACACCTTTCCGGGTGTGCAAAGACTTGCCGAATGTCGAGGAAAGCACCGATGTCCCACGGTATGTGATGCCGAATCATACAGTTTCGGATGTCATAAGCTTCACTTTGGCTTCGTGTTTTGAAGCCAACTACATTTTCGAGCTTTTGAGCATGCAAAGGAAAGAATGAATAAGGAAATGAAAATTTATTGTGTTCGTACGACGTGTAATAACTAAGTCCTTGCTGAAGTTATGGAATGTGTTATTACAAATGAAATTGTCCATCCAAACACAAAATATGAATCTAGCAATTTTGATTGCCATCAACATTAATTTCTACTTCATTACTGTACATTTTTTTATATTGCTCGATTGATGGAAATGCTCAAAACATCGATTTGATGTAATTTTTCTTTCAGTTTCATAGTATTATTTTGTTTTGTTTTAAGGAAGCATTATCTTGTTCTATTTTGTATATGTTATATGTCCTGTGTATGTTGTCCATAAGTCTGCACATGAGATAACAGACTTCTAGCTTGGTCCGTGCTGATCTCCCCGTTCAGATGCATTATTCAGTCAATTTGATGGGTGCGCCTTTTTCTGTTTATAAAGCGTGTTTTATACCGATGTGAACGGGGTGTTGTCTACTACCAGACACTTTCTACTTCAATGAATAAAAATCTTGATCGTTTTTTCAAACTAATTGTAAATTAAATTTATTTGTCATTACCTATTGTACCTATTGATTGGCACACTGAGTGACATAAAGAAGATACTTAAAATGATTTCTTGGCTGAGGGATGCAACCAATCAAAAAGTTGTGATGAACTTGCTTGCTTCGCTTCGTCGCTTCAGGGGAGGGGGGATCTCTGTCGTCCCTGATTGTTGTTTGCTGGAAAGTAATATCTGATACGAAATTGCGAAATTCGGCATGCTGGCTCTCCTAGCGCCTGATGCGTAGGCAACATCTTGTCTGCAGTGCATGCGTGTACAGCGGGGTGGCCTACCCTGAGTCTCGCAGGCGCCGAACTACTGTAGTATACCTAATAAATAGGAGAAAAACGCTCAATCAAGAATCGATCGTGAAAATAAAGCAGACGATATAAAAGAGTGGGTTTGCGTCCCAAATTTTTGAGGGCCCGAGAAAATATTTGAACACGACATGCAGCCCATGCTGGGTTGAATCGTAGAACTGTGACAAATTTCTAGCTGAAAGTCAAAATCCGAAATAAATCGTTAGTCCGCGTACAAGTAACTAAGTACACTGTTGGATTTGGAGTGCAGTGCAGATACGCGAAAGGAGAAACTGTAAAGTCACAAAACCAGGGGGTAGAAAAACATGGCAGTCACATCCGTATGTTGTCCATGCGCACCGGTTGAGACTCGTGCCGTAGCCGTGGACCTTTATGGTGGACCGCCGGGTACTGGCCTTTACTCCTCAGACTGCGACGACGGTGACGTCACTATTCTTGGCCACTTACTGTCTGGGCATTGGGAATCCCGTCGGCCCGACCTGCCCTGTCTGACCATGTGAGGATGGCCGTCTGGCTTGGAGTTGGAACAGGAGCGCTGGGACCGTGTCATGTCGATGTCAGCTTACTGGCAGGCCGCTGTTTTCTCCTCGTATCATGTTCATGTTCCAATGCCAACTCACAATTCTGTTTTAAAATTAAAAAGACACAATCCATCGGCATAGATTTCAGCAATGATATTGGGCAGTGGGCATACGCGTGGTACAACGCTGCACATTACACAATAGTCTCAATTTCAGGAAACCCTTAATTTGCAGCCTACTCTTCCCGAAAAGATTAAGGTTGGGAGTTAGGAAAGGGTTCCATTGTACAGGGACAGCTCGGCACCGCCTATGGTATCCGTGAAGCTATGTGCACTTTCGCTCAGGGGGGGTTTGGAGATAACCGACGCATAGCAGCGACTCCAGCAGGGCACTCTCCTCTCAGAAAATACTGACGGCGCTCGTGAAGCGAGGCACAAGAGAAAAGGCGAGACGAGTCAGTCACCTTGTGGCCAGTCTGCATGTTTCAGCTGAGGCGGCAGCAAGCAGCACAAGCACAGCACAGCACTGCAACCAGGTACTCTGCGTTGAATCCGGCAGCTCGGATGCTACAGTGATAAACTAGAGTGTGAAACTACTTAACACTTGTAAGCGAGGGGGTTTTCACTTGCGTAATACACTGTACACCTAAACTAGGTATAACGCGTGATGTCAAAACCAAAAAAGGGAATGTATGCCCTAAAATGGGAGAATTATGGTTGCAAAGCTTGTGTAACACCGGCGTAATACCGCGTACTACACGTAAAGTATATA